GAAAGCCCAGCTGGGTCCAGGCTACTGGTTACTTTATTGGTGTCTTATTTTTATTTTATAGCGTACTGTCTGAATATGGGTTCTTGGGGTCTAAAACCCCAGATGGAAAAGTAGGCACGTATTTATGGTCCGTGAGTAGAGAGACAGCAGCCTCAGGACATGCTGTAGCTGCCGTATGGATGCTGCATGCGTGGCCAGTGAGTCCCGTGCACTCCAGATGCACCCAGCTTGTGGTGCGTTGGTGTCAGGGTTAATGAATGGTGGAGTTGCTGGACTCTGTCTGCAGAGCCAGCTGGCATGTGCCTGTGTCTGTTTGTTCAGGCGTCTCCAGCATCTGGAGATCCTACACTAGTCTCTGGCTTTTTTTTTTCTTTTTTTTTTTTTTTTCTTTTTCTTTCTCTCTGCCTCATCAAAGCCACCAAACAGGAGAAAGAAGGCAGGCAGGGGAGAAGCTCCCACAAAGTGAAGAACAGGGATGGAAAGCTTGGGTGCAGTTCTGTGGCCCTTCTTTACAAGATTCCTAATTCCTGCTCAAACTCAGGAGAGTGCCTGGGTGAGAAAGGAGCTGAATGAGGCATCCTAGCCTGCAGTCTCTTGCTTCTCCTGCAAGGGCTGGGGTTTCCTGAGGTGAAGCCTTTGACAACAGCATTTGTCAAAGTATTCCCTGCTGCTCACCTAATTGTGCTGGCAAAGCAGAAGCAGCCCTGCGTTGCGGTGTGGGAGAGGAAATGAATTGCAGGGGAGGGTGAGAGCACCTTAAACCAGCGTTGCCACCGGAGACTTTGCCTTGCAAAACCACAGCATTCCTCATGCTGTACGTGCTGTGGTTGATGACAGCAACCCGTTAGTGAGTGCTGAAAGGGAGCAAAAGGAGGGACCAGGGCCTCTGCTCTTCCCACCTACATGGGCAGGCAGTGCCTTCCTCTGGTGTAGTTGTGAGCAGTCCCTCGGGTTGTGGGATCATAGGCTACAATTAACTGAAAACCACGAAGGTGTCTGTTAACTCTTAAAAAAAGAGACTTGTGGAATGAAGATAAATGAGGGCCTTACAAACTTTGTGGCTACTGCAGAAGAAATTGCAGGTTCAAGATATATATAGCCAGTCAAGTGGTTTCTGTATATTGAGCCAACAATGTGCACTCACAGCTCAGAAGACCAACCATATCCTGGGCTGCATCAAGAGAAGCATGGCCAGCAGGTCAAGGGAGGTCATTCTCCTCCTCTACCCTGCTCTTGTGAGACCCCAGCTGTAGTACTGAGTCCAGTTCTGGGGCCTCCAATGTAAGAAGTAGGACATTGACCTACAGAGTGAGTCCAGAGGAGGCCACGAGGATGATCAAAGGGCTGGAGCACCTCTGCTGTGAGGATGGGCTGAGAGAGTTGGGACTGTTCAGCCTGGAGAAGAGAAGGCTCTGGGGAGATCTTTTAGTGGCCTTCCAGTACCTGAAGAGGCTACAGGAAAGCTGGGGAGGGACTTTTTACAAATTCAGGTAGTGATAGAACAAGGGGAAATGGCTTTAAACTGGAAGAGGGGAGGTTTAGATTAGATCTGAGGAAGAAATTCTTTGCTGTGAGGGTGGTGAGACACTGGAACAGGTTGCCCAGAGAAGCTGTGGCTGCCCCCTCCCTGGAAGGGTTCAAGGCCAGGCTGGATGAGGCTTTGAGCAACCTGGTCTAGTGGAAGGTGTCCCTGCTGATGGCAGGGAGGTTGGAACTAGATGATCTTTAAGGTCCCTTCCAACCCCAACAGGTCTATGATTCTGTTTGAACTGTAGACATATGAAAATGAAGGCTTTAGCCCAGAAAAACTGGATTCCCTGGATGGGGAATTCATGTAAGGTCAGCAGCTTTACACCCCGAAGCTGTGCATCTGTAATCATTAAGCACATACATAGGAAGCTGTCCAAGCAGATGTATCACTTACTCTCCTTCCTACGCTGTCTGCCTTTTGGTTTTGATATTACTAAAAGCTTCAGTAAAGAAGAGTTTTTATCGTGTCAGATGTTACAAGTCGTCTGTGCCAGTTTCCAAGTAGGAGTGTGGATTTGAATGGCTGGTGCCTTTCCAGGAGCTGGAAGGAGAAGTATATCAGGGCTGCAAATTCCTGGTGAATGCAAGAAGCTGTAAAACCTCCCACTGGGTGATCTGTGACAGTGGGACAGGCTGACAGCCTTGTCTGACTTCTCTTGCTGAAGCATAAAAAGGCTGTGTGGAGCTGCAGATGCTTTCCCTGATTACTAATGAGAGAAAAGCCGAACTGCTTGGCTGATTTTCCTCCCAGGATGAATGCTCAGTGTTCTGCGTGTGGGGATTTTTCCCCCTTTTTTCCCCCTTCCTCCTCCCTGGTCTGAATATCTTCATTTGTTTGAAAGTATCCCTCTTCCTGGTAAAATACTAGTTCCAACAGTAAATGCATATTTGGGAAAGGGTCCAAGGTTGAGGGTGGATTTGAGAGAGTGAGCAGTTGAATGCCGAATCCCATCTGGGTCAGTGATGAGGTGACTTGTTGGCCTGCAAGGTGAGAACCGCAGTCAGTCATTCTCTGCTCTGAATGCGTCAGTATTTATGCAGACTGGAGCAAGACCAGCAGGAGAAGTGGAGGCATCCCATGGTAGCCAGCACCATGGTGGCTAGCTCAGTTTTCTCTGATGTGGCCTACGGCAGGGTGGCAGTGTGTTTCTAACATCATAGGGGAGTGTCTGAGCTGTGGGGCCATTGGCAGCTTTTTTTTTTTTTTTTTTTAAAAGAAAGATTAAAACACTTATTTTTTTGAAAGTTTTGAATTTCGTTCAGATGTGGCATGGGAACATGTTTGTGGAAGGCTGAAGCAGATCCACCCAGTAGTTAGGAAGATGAAGGGTGCTGGTCAACAATTCAGGTCTGTAATGTCGAGCACAAACCAGCTAATAGGCAGTCTGTGAGCACATGCAGATGAGTTAATTCATGTTTACAGCCTTTCAGATAATTTCCATGCAAAGCAACCTGACTGTAGTGTACACCGGTCAAAGCAGGATACACGTCTGCCTTCAGTGTAAGCCTGCTGGTGTGCCCTGCTCCACTGTCAGGAGAAGGAGCCAGCTGGACTGGGGTGAGGGGATAGTGATGCTGACAAAAAACAGGCAAAATGAGGGACTGTCAAGCAATAGAAAGGCTTATGCGATCAGGCTACTTTTGTGGGACAACCATCAAGTAAACCTGGTTGCTCCAGAGACAATCACTAATTGCAGCAGAGCTGACAGCTTCAGGAAGCTTGAAAAGTTTGTAGGGTATCATATCTCGTTGGTAACACAGAAGAAGGACTGATGCAGGCTGAAACGTGTGGGTGTTGTCCCCACACTGTGCAGGTTTGATGGCTCTTTCTGCCTTTTGAATAGGGAGATGGAGATGCACCTAAGAGTTTAGCACTTACTATTTTAGTATATATTTTGTACTGGAACATGTGCAGAGAAGGGCAATGAAGCTGGTGAAGGGTCTAGAGCACTGGTCTCACGAGGAGTGGCTGAGGGAACTGGTGTTGTTTACCCTAGAGAAAAGGCGGCTGATGGGAGACCTTCTCGCTCTCTACAACTACCCGAAGGAGGGTGCAGAGAGGTGGGGGTCAGTCTGTTCATCCAAGGAACAAGTGACAGGACAAGAGGAAATGTTCTCAAGTCATGCCAAGGGCAGTTGAGATTGGATCTGAGGAAGAATTTCTTTCCTGAAAGGGTTCTCAGGCATTGGCAGGGGTTGCCCAGGGCAGTGGTGGAGTCCCCATCCCTGGAAGTATTTAAGAGTCATGTAGGCATAGTGCTGAGGCACATGGTTTAGTTGGGGACTTGTCAGTGTTTGGTTAATGATTGGACTTGATGATCTTAAAAGTCTTTTCCAATCCAGGCAATTCTGGGATTCTGTGTGTTATATTGAAGTGTTTTCTCACAGGCTGCTTTGCGGATTTTTAGTTTTGATTTTTATTTTCATGATTTTGCTTTATTAGGTGTTTTTCTCCCCCAGCTTTTTGTGTTTCTTTTTTTTTTTTTAACCAGTGCAACTTCTTAAAATCAATAGTCTTTTAGCTATTTCATTTTTATGCATGTATTCTGTTCCTTAGAAATGTTGCCCAAGTGTAGAGGTGAAATAATGATTGGATTAGAAAAAGTAGGTTACAAATATCAGAAGTAAAAGGGCTGCCAGAGCGTTGCAAGATTTGGGGCTTTATTTCTCATATTTCCTGTATGTGCATATAACCTGTGCTATATTTCCCTGGGTCTGCTAGAAGAGAGGGAAGTTACAGATGTCCCGTAGGTTATACATATAAAACATGGTGTTACAGTTGCAGATCCTCATATTGAGCAATTCAAAATTAGGAGCATTGTAATGCATCATTCTGGACACTGGACAGCAAAATTTCCAATTTAATCCCTTCTGCAGCACTATGATAACTCAGATAAAAAAACAAAAATCCAAAAAGTTGTTTTGCACTTGAAGAAAATCAAGATACTGAGAAATGTTCCTTGGGCAGTTCACTGGGGCTTCCATTTAGGGAAATACAAGACTGCCCTCAAAGCCTTTTGTTTAGCTTGTGTTTAGTCTTTTCCTCCTATCTGTTGGTTGTGTTTTTTGGTTTTCTTGTGTTTTTGTTTGCTTTTTATTGACAGAAAAAAGGATGAATCATGGTTCTGGGAAGCCAAAAACAGGCTGTTTGATTATCACTGCTGGGAATGCTATGTAGTGAAACTGTGGGTGAGGGAGTAGGTGGTTCTTCTTCTGCTCGTCTTGCTACTCCTAAATATGATTGTAAACAGCTGAATTTGTGTTAGTCTTGCAACTCTGCTTGTAATTACACCCACATCAGTTCAGAGTACATGCTTTATCATCAGTGTGGGTTAAAAGACATTTCTGGGAGGCATGATATTTGAGGTTGTTCCACATCTTCTTGAGCGGCTGCTTCTGGCTGCTGAAGTATGTGTATACATGAAAGTGTGCTTTTGTCTACACTCACGATCTGTTTACTTTGTTTCTAGGGCTCATCACAATAAAAGAAGCCCATGATATAGAAGCCAGACTTAATGAAGTGGAAAAGCTTCTAAAGACTATTATAAACATGCCCTGGAAGGTGAGTAAGCCCAAGTTCCACGTTTAGCCCAGCTTGACTCCTCCTTGATGGTGACACAGAGTCTCATGCAGATTAGAAAGTGATGGGCTTTGCAAACTCTAAAAGAAACACTAGTTTATTGAGTATCTTCAAGACGTGCTGAGTGCTAGAACCATGTAATGATGTTTCCAGGCTTTTGCTTGTAATAAGTCTTTCTGTTGTACTAGGAAGGGGTGGAAGGGAAGAAGAGGGACAAAGCAAACTACTGCTAAAGAATGGGTGTCTGTTTCTTTTTCTGTTTTTAAGTATTCAAGGTCTGAAGTTGTCCTCACGTTCTTTGAGAGATCTCCTTTGGATCAAGTTCTAAAAAATGACAATGTTCATAAAATTCAGCCAAGCTTTCAAAGTCCAGTTAAAATATCAGGTAAGAGTTGTTAGCTTCCTACAGTTAACACAAGAATTACAGAATGAAAATGACTTTATTTGCTGTTCCCCTTATTCTTTCTCCATCAGCAATTCAAAAGATAGTTCTCCATAGTCTGTTTTATAATATAGGACATATAATTAGTCTTGACATACTATACAACATGCATTCAGGCAATAAAGGGGTAGGTGGCATTAAAGACTGATAAATGCAAAGAAGTGGATGTGAGGAAAATGCAATCCTTGCTGTCATCACATATGATAGTACTGTTACCACTTAGGAAGGAGATTTTGAGGCTATTGGTACAGTTCTATGAAAATATTCGGTGCCAAGTGGTGAGCAAAACCAGCAGTGAGAATATTAGGTATTATTAGGAAGGGAGAGGAGAACAGAAGAAATCTTGAATACCATGTGCACAATTCTGGTCTCTCCATCTCAGAAAGGATATAATAGAATTTAAAAGCATACAAATAAAGGACAAGGATTCAAGTCGTTGAACAGCTTCTCTAAGAAAAAGGTTAAATAAAGAATGACACTTCAACTTTGAGAAGAGATGACAGAGTGGGGATATGATGGAAGTCTGCAAAGCTGTGGATAGAAGGTCGATTACCCTGTACTTCTCATGAAACAAAAACTATAGGTTATCCAATAACGTTGACAGACAACAGGCTTTAAAAAAACAAAAGGAAGGTTATAATATTGTTTTGTTTCCATATGGAGTGCAGTTAAAGAGTGGAACTCGTTGACATAGGATATGGTGGAACTGAAAGCATAAATGACTTCAAAAAGGAATTAGACAAGCAAGTGGAGGAAAAGTACACTGAAACCTGTCACAACTGGAGACATAGGAAGTTGCTAAACCACAGAGTGATAGTGGGTAAAACAGAGAGCAGTATTACTCTATCCTTACCTATTCTTTCAGCCTTTCCCTTCATCATCTGCTACTGACTGTTGTTAAAAGGTTTGTGAACTTTCAGTGTGCCTGGTTTTGTATTTCTATAGTGAAATGTTTTGTTTGAGCCTAATGGCAGCTGCTGGTTTTGTGTCACCAGAAGAGTTTATTTCAGAGAGTGAAAGAATGTAAAATACTACATAGTCCTCTAAGGTGCATAAAGTGTTTAACGTGAAGGTGGTATCAGTTTTCTTAGGTACTAACAGTGTATCGGTTAATGGCCAGTCAACGTGTCAACATGCTAAAGGTTGTAATTAAGGATCGATCTTGCACACAGGGCTAGACTCTGTGGTTGAATCCTGAGCTCTGGTCTAAGCAAACTAGTCCTCTGTTAAATAACTGTTCTCTTAATTAAATGGTAAATGGTTTACAAGCCCGCCAATAACTCTTTAGGAGTGTATTGTGTAATACAGAGCCTCAGTGAGAAGCATGGTCATGCCAGCCCGTTTGGGCTGGTGCCTTCTTGTAGGGGTTCTCAACAGCACAGGGACTGTAAAGAAGAGCCCCCAGGGCACTACTGCCAAGGGAGGTGATGCAGGTCTGGCTTCCTGGGAGCTAGAGATGGGAGTCAACATGTGTGTCTCACACCCCATCTGTGGCTAGGGAGGTGTGGATGATCTCTGGAGTCGATGTGGAAACCTCGTGTAAAATTCCTCGTGTGTATGTTCCTGACATTAGTCATCTTCCAAAGGCTGAACGCCATTACTTGCTTTGCTCCTGAACGCCAGGACATGTTCTCAGCACTCACCCTTGAATCACAGAATCACAGAATGTCAGGGATTGGAAAAGAACCTTAAAAGATCATCCAGTCCAGTCCCCCTTGCCGGAGCAGGAACCTAAACGAAATCACACAGGAAGGAGTCCAGGTGGGTCTTGAATGTCTCCAGGGAAGGAGACTCCACAACCTCCCTGGGCAGCCTGTTCCAGTGCTCCGTCACCCTCACTGTAAAGAAGTTTTTTTCTCAAGTTAAAGCGGAACCTCCTGTGTTCCAGCTTGTGCCCATTGCCCTTTGTCCTACCATTGGGCATCACTGAGAAGAGCCCGGCTCTATCCTGATGGCATTTGCCCTTTACATATTTATAAACATGCATGAGGTCACCACTCAGTCTCCTCTTCTCCAAGCTAAAGAGACCCAGCTCCCTCAGCCTTTCCTCAATAAGGGAGATGCTCCACTCCCTTAATCGTCTTGGTGGCTCTGCGCTGGACTCTCTCAAGGAGTTCCCTGTCCTTCTTGAACTGTGGGGCCCAGAACTGGACACAATATTCCAGATGTGGCCTCACCAGGGCAGAGTAGAGGGGGAGGAGAACCTCTCTTGACCTACTAACCACACTCCTTCTAATGCACCCCATGATGCCATTGGCCTTGCTGGCCACAAGGGCACAGTGCTGGCTCATGGTCATCCTGCTGTCCACCAGGACTCCCAGATCCTTTTCCCCTACACTGCTCTCTAGAAGATCATTCCCCAGCCTATACTGGAACCTGGGGTTTTTCCTGCCCAAATGCAACACCCTGCACTTGCTCTTATGATATTTCATTAAGTTTTTCTCTGCTCAGCTCTCCAGCCTGTCCAGGTCTCGCTGGATGGCAGCACAGCCTCTGGCGTGTTAGCCACTCCTCCCAGCTTTGTATCATCAAGATGAACCTAAATTCAGAGTGAGTGCCTGGCTGATGGACAGAGGCTAGCAACAAAGGGAACCCTCCTGCCAGCCTTTATGTAGAGGAGCTGTAGAAACCACGTTAGCTGAATAATGTGTTTTGTTCTAATTCTAAATTAATTTTGGTAGAGGCGAGTCATACCTCATGAATTGGAGGAAGATTTTCCTGCATATACAACTATCCAAAAGCATCGTGGCAGTTAGTTTTATCGTTTAAGTGATTGCTGCAACAAATTTAAGAACATAGGCAGAAATTTGATGAACACTGATACCTTGTCTCATCTGAACGTTGCACACTGGAAGTGGTTTCAGTGCCTGGCAGCGTTGTCAGTAGATGGCAGTAAATGTTAACGTTTAAAACAGTTCACACAGCAACGAAATACTGTAGCTCTTGGGTCATGTCAAGGACACTAGGAGATCACTGTGACATTCATTTTAGTCATAGTGCAGCTTTCTATGTGGCTTGCAGACTTAAAAAAAGCAGGCAAAAATGTTTTGTATTCTCTGAACAAACAAACTGCCCCCTGCATGGTCCTGTTCAGAGTGGTGGGTGGTGGGGAAGAGAGAAAGGGCTGCCCTCTTAGATGAAAGCTGAAGCTGAATTTATGGTGTAAATCTTATTCTGCAGTATGATGTTGGTTCAAGATGAGTCATGACTGAAGTGTGATTCTGCTGGGATTCAGTGTTTTTACCACCCCAAACATATTCTGCTAAAGTCAGTTGCAGTAAAGTACAGGCTGAAAGTCAAAGATTACTTTATCAAAGGAGTTCTGTTTTTACATGTAGGAACATGTGAATGTACGCTTTATAAAATTACCTCCCTTCTTTCTCCTGTCCTGCTCATTACTTGAACTGTGTATATCATTGAAAATGGTTTCTTTGAGGATTGCCTGTACATATGTTTTATGCCTGCCATATTTTCTGCCACGGACTAATTTCCTTTTCTTTGTACTGATAATGCAAGGGTGTAACACAGGATCCTTATACCTTGAGGCAAATCATGAGTCTTCCCACTTAAGTCAGTGCTGATTTATATAGAAATGTATGTTCATTTTGTGGTGGCCCTAGCTTCATATAAGATGGTGGGACCAGAAGAAATCCTTGTGACTTGCCTAGTCTGCCTTTCCTTGTAGCACAGATGTGGATTAAATGCTCATTCACATGAAAAACTATTCTTTAATTATAAACATCTCCTGTGGTAGTAAGTCAGTGGAATTAGATGTAAATTTTAGCTATTCTAGTTTGAGGGCTTCTTACACAGTGAGAAACAAATAAGCAGAGTTGAGGGCGGTGTAGAAGATGGCATTGTTGTACATGCCTAACAGATGGTGGTTGGATTCACTTGGAAGGTCACTTTTAATTTCCTTTTTCCTGTCCCTTTGGATTTGGCGTAACTGGTTTAAGCCTGGGACTGTGTAGGAAAAATACAATTAGGTTTTGGTAGTGGTAGGTTGCAGTGGATGAATTGGGCTGCCATTCTGCTAAGGGTGACAAGAGTTTTGCCACTGACAGTAACAGGACTGAAACTAAGCCTTGCTTCAAGCGCTCCCTATCATGAATTTATTACGTGCATAAAATAGCTTAAGCGCTGGCACT